AAAAAAAAAAAAAAAAAAAAAAAAAAAAAAAAAAAAAAAAAAAAAAAAAAAAAAAAATTGGGGGGGGTGTCAAAAAATTAAAACATCCTTAATTTTGCATGAACTGTACATGTATGTGCAATGAACGCATGGTTTTCATCCAATCTAAGCAAGTATAACAAGCCAATCGTATGGCAGTTTGTGATTTATGTGAAAAAATGACAGTAACTTTTGAAAATGATTTTATAGGGAAAAGTGGAGGTCAAATTCGGATTCAGCGCATCAAAATCATGAGGAAAATATATCTTAAATGTATTTATACTCAAACGGAGAGCCGCTATGATTTTTGATCACTGAAAAGTGCATTGGGACCATAGTGTGCCGACCCATGTAACCAAGTGCTCCAAGATCGTGCTTTGGCATTTCCAATGACAACAGATTTACGGTCATTCCTCTTTTCCCGTCAGGCCGTAAGAAATGAAAGGCAGGGGGTAGAGAAGGAAGTAGCGATGAAAAAAACCCCTTCCCCTTTCAGTCGATTTGTCAAGTCCCGGAAGGGTGACCGTCCCCCCCTTTTCGCGGCACTGATAAGAGCGATAAGGGATGAAACTGAATATTGGGGGCGTATGAGGAAAGCAACCTTGGTGGGAGCTATCGTTAAGGCACTGGATCCAGCATTAAATATTTTTCTGTGCTATGAATTGGTGCTTCCAGCCAACTAGATGTCAGATGCATATAACTTCATAATTTTTAGAGTCACAATAGAAGGGGAAGGGGTTCCTATTCATGAATTGTAAGCAAACAGTTTTCGATTGCGGATTGCCGGACTTGGATATTTTGTTCACTGCTTTCCTGATCCGTTCCATTATATGGTGGTGAAGGTGTTTTTTGTCGCATGAGCGTGTGAAAAATGATTAGCAGTTGTTAATAGCCGGTTTTATGCGCGTATTTGCAGATTGACGTCTGATTTTACAATGCAATTTTTTATGCGCATTTGAACGCGAAAGAAAAAAACAACCTCTCTTCACTGATTTTATCCGATAATTCTTCGAAAGACTCGACGCGGTAATGACATAACAATGAGGACAATCATTCGTTTAATCCATTAGTTCAAAAGGAAACATAATGAAGCAAGAGCCGTTTTTACTTTGATGTCCTAGACCTATACTGCCTTATTTTTCTTTCTGAATTCAAATGAAAGAAAAATAACATTGCTGCATTTTGGGTGGCAGATAATTCAGTAGAGCAAGGTTTTAAGGGAAGATTTTATTCGAAATTTTGTGAAAAGTTATAAAACTTACATATTATATCGATGTCGGTGATTTTTTTTTTGGAGAAGCGAATGATGCCAGTTTCTTGTTACTCACGTTAATATAGCAATCGTTAATATCTCAATCGGGGCGTTGATCTCAAGTATTCGTACGTGAATCCTTTTTACGCGGCATTTTGATGAGAAATCGTGTACACAAGAAGAAATTGTTGTAATAATTCATTTTGTCTTTGTTCATTGTGTTAATTTATTAATTTTGGAGGGGGAGGGGGTGATACTAGTCAAACCTCCTCGCAAATAACTTGTTTATCGACAGTTCAATAATTCAAACTCATTTTTTTAAAATGTATCTATCTATTATTAATTCAACTGATCTTTTTCACTACATTTAAGAATCAACATCATAATCAAAATTACCCTTAAAAACAAGAGAGTGTCCATTTGTCCAGTCAAATCATAATCGCAGTTCCTCATAGGATCGCTAACTACTCCTATATGCGTGCTACCAAAGTCCCGACAGTCAATTTGAAATTTCCATGTGTTCCAAGGCTATTAAAATTCAGTTGAAGAGTGCCTAGCCCCGTTAAAAATTATTTTCTGTTTTGTTTTTCACCTCGTTGTGTTGTCAATTTTTTTCTCACCTTGTTAACTCTCCGACGCATTTCTCCTCCTCCATACTACTCGTGGACTTAATGTATGAAAAATATTCAGGGGACAACTCTAGTCGAGTAGTTGGTCTGGTACACAATGATCGGTAGTGTTCTTAAATCCGACCAGTGACGAATCGTTGAATTTTAAAAACGTAACAAATGATTCCATGTCAAACGAAGACTTCAACTGTATTCCAGGGTTGCAACCGCTGCGACTTTATGCATGTTTTCTCCAATCGTCCGTGTACTGCCGTACAGTGGATTGAGTCAATTAGAGAGGTCGGACATGAAATCTCTGACCAAAATTGCTAAATTCGATTTGTATTTCGTCACATTCTAAAACTCAAGGGACCGTGTTTAAGTATAGAAAAAGATTTTACGAGGAAACCAATGAAACCACTTTTAGAACCTCAAAGTTTTGTATAAACGGATTTATAAGCGTTTTAAGTTTCCAAATTTTGTTCCACCTCTCCTGTTGACTCGATCCACTGTGCAGCGCAGGCGCAGTTTTTCTGTGTTGCAAGCTGCAAGCATTGAGATGCCAGATGCACTCTTTAAGGCACGGTAGTGAGATCGATGTTTATTGCTAGTTGTATTAGTAGTACGGACTCGATGACTTGAGAGTAGAATCATGACGATCAAACGAATGATTGCATGACACGAAATTGGGTTAATTATATGTAGTGGAAATTAGTCCAACATTATATATAGCTAATATGCACTTGACTCGCGCTGGAAATAGTCTCAAAAGTCGCATCTTTGTCACATTTGCTTCTCGTTAACCAGTGCCAATTATATTGCTCAGCGCGCTGTGCAGCACGATGCTTTATCTGGTCTCAACACAACTGCGCTTCATTTGTCGGGGAGGGTACCGGGACCCATCGGTGAAATTCCTGTATATGTGGGTCAATAAAAATGACCGTGATTCATCGAATGCAGTATATGTCTAGGTGAAAATAGAGTTCGGAATTAGAAATATCCTTGAGCTTTCTTACCTTTTTATATCCAACCAAAACGAATGAAAGTGGAAAGCGCAAACAACATCCAAGCTTTTCGCCTCTGGTCGAAGATTAATATTGGAGCCCTTGAGCGGTTCTGTAGCTTTTTAAAGAAAGATTTAATATT